GGGGGGAGGGGAGATGATATGTAAATGAAATGAGTAAGAGTAAGAGTAAAAGGAAGAGTATAGGGGGTAGGTAATAAAAAATTTGTACCTATGAAAACGGAAGGAAGGGATTATGTCGTGTTACCTATGTTGTAGTATGTTGTGTTCTGTCGTGTTACAGTACCTGGGACCTTGGTAGCTACCTAGCTAGGGACCTAGATGCTGAGGTGGTGGATACTTGATTGGTTTTTACCTTGGTAGGTAGGTAGTTTTTTTTTTTTGTGTTACCTTGAGTACATTGGGTAGGTAGTGTAGCTGGGTACCTAGGGTAGCTGGGTTGTACGAGTATGTGTATCGTACCGTATCGTATCGTGTGAGTGGGTGTTGTTGTTTAGAACTTTGGTAGGTATGGTGGTAGGTGGTCGGGTATTACCCCGCATTTTCCGTTATTCCCAGGGGCTTTGTGGTAGGTATAGATAGATGGATGGATGGATTGATGTACGGGTTGGGATCTTGTTCTGGGGTTTTTGATGGGTTTTTTTTGGGTTTTGTAGAAGGGACTTTTAAATGTAGTGGTGGATGTGAAAGGGGATTTGGGGGATGGAGAAGATGGGAATAAGATGGGAAAAGGAAGTAGCTGTTACATATATATATATATATATATATAGCTGATATTTCTTCTCCGCCGTCGTCGTCCGTCGGCGTCTTTGGATATCTTATATCCAGCCCGATTCGGATTTAATCAGATTAGTATAATTAGTAAGAACTATAGGAATAAGGTTTTTCTTTTATAGTTATAGAGGTTATTTTTATTATAGGTAGAGGCGATTTATTTATGTTATCTCTTTTAAAACTTATTATTTATAATTATATCTAGTATATTTCTTTTTATATAGATTCTAATAAATAAATATTACGTAGTAGTTATATATAGCGCTCTACTCCTTTATAGTAAAGCTCTTTTAGATATTTAGCCGAGGTATATATACGCTAGTATTATATAAACTTATACTTTCTCCTATATATTTAAATAAGCTTTATAATTAATTTAATTACTTCTTTTATAAGTATATACTTCTTTTATACTCCTATAATAATTCTCTCTCTCTTTAATTATTATACCATTAGTAATTATATTATCTATTAGAATAAACTCTACCTATATTCTCTTTTACTTAGCTAAGTCTTGGATAAAGTAATAGTATATATTAATATACTTAGATCTCTTATTTAGGTAAGTATTCTTTATTAATATAATTATACCCTAATTATCTCTATATATCTATATAAGATATAGATTCTTACTAACGTATTTTCTAAGCCCTAGGTCCTATAGAATCTATATAATCTATTAGCCCTGCTTTATATAGGATACTAACGTAATATACTCCGATTTATAACTGTTGGTACGACCTGGTTGTCGTAAAGGGTGATACACAAACATAATCTCTCTTTGTATTCATTCGTGTATGAAGAGTAAAGGTAAAGAGAGGTGGTACCCTAAAAGCTTAAGCATATTGTCACGAATCACGTGTAGCAATGCATGTGACAAAGGAAGTCCAGGCGGCGTCCTGACAGGTTAAGCACATCCATGGACTTATAGCAAAAAGGGATCAGTTAGACTAGCTAAGCGATCCAGGGATTTCTTCTGGTTAGAAAATCACGTGATCTAATCGCCTGAGTCGCCTGTCGACTGAAGCGATCAGGGCGAGCAGAGCGATCAATCAGAGAACGAAGGTTCTTCTAGTCGCCTGAGTCGCCGGTCGACTGAAGCGATCAGGGTGAGCGACTAGAGCGATCAATCAGGGAACGAAGGTTCTATATAAGACTGGCACGCCTGCCATTAGATAGGAGCTTCGTGCTCAACTTAGTTATCAATCTTATCATATTAGTTTGACATCTTTGATACAAGTAACGAGTTCACTTCCAAGTGAACAACCCGATAGTCTTCTTCTTATCTAGCATACCAACCAGCGAACACCCAGCCAAGTTTAGTTAGCCAGTTTGAGTATTCTTTACATGTTTCCGACCGTAGGTTGTTGAGTAATTAATCATTTATAATAAATTGTTTGCCTTACTAAGTGTTCATCTTAGTACGACCAACCACTTTAGTGGTTAGCCCTTGTTTCTGAAAAAAAAAATTAATTAATTCGAAAATTATTAATTATCTAATTAGTTAATTATAAGTTTCACTATAAGGATTTACATATTTCACTTATAAAGATTTGATTTATATACACTCTAAGGGCCTGTTTAGCTCGCGAATTTAATTCGTACAAATGTAGTACAAATCTTCAACTTTTGCACACGTCTAGGGACCTAAGAGCTCATGCAAATGTTTCCTGATTTATATACAATTTATACTGATCTAACGAACCATATACACTACTATTTAGCTAGCTACAAAAGTTTTTTATTCTAGGTATAAATCTTATTTGTATATCTATACCCCCTGCCTACCCTAGTACCCTAGCGTATAGTACTACAGTATAACTTCTATAGTATCGCCCCTATAGTACCCCTCTTACGATACTACCTTACCCCCCCTTCCTACCCCTCGGGGCCCTTCTTGCGCCTACGCTTCACGACTATAAGTTAGCCGAGTTTTCCTTTGTGTTAGTATAGGGGCATACTATAGGAGGCATACTATAGGAGGGATACTGTAGGAGGGACACTAGGGAAATGGAAAGATTTGCAAGGATATTTGTACAAAAGAAGAAGATATAGAACCTCGAGGGTTCTATATCTTTATATATCTTATTTTAGTGGTGCAAATCTAAAAAGATTTATACGTAGATTTACAACGCATTTGTAGCTAAATTAGACAAAAACAATTGGTCCTATCTAAATAGTAGCGTATATTATAATATGTATGTATATCGTGTATATTATAATATGTATACAAATCTTTTTGTATAGTACATATCTTTAAATTTGTTGAGCCAAACGGCTCCTAAGGCTAACTAGTAGAATCGCTAGATGTGAGGGTTAGAACCCATAGTGGGGCTCGGGCCAAGAGCCCTCGCTAAGCTAAGCGACCCCGCCTCTGGAACGCCATGGAATAAGATAGAATGCTATGACGCAGAAGATTGGTAATACTATGGAACAGTGTTGAATGCAATGGAAATGCTACATTTAGTATAAGAGTAGAGGAGGAACATGTATTTACAGACCACGTAGTTCTTAATTGAATATTGAACCCACACCTTTGAGTTGTCCGAGGTCTGACCTCTCACACTAGAATTCTATAGAACCTGTTCCTTTTACCGAACGTTAGTAGAGATATATTATTATAGATCTCTTTTAAACTCTCTTTTCCTCTCTTAGTCTGTTTATTCCTTTTACTTCTATCTTTTTATTCTTTCTCCCTTTTCCTTTTATTTCTTTTCTCCTTCTTCTTCTCCTCCTCTCTTTCTCTTACCTAGTTACTTAAGATCCTCTTTAACAATACCCTTCGTATTCCCTCCTTTCCCTACTATTAGAATAACTATAAATAATATATTACTTTCTTCCTCTCTCCCTTTTTCTCTTCCTCTTTTCTCTTCCCCTTTATCTTCCCTTTCCCCTTTCCCCTTTCCCCTTTCCCCTCTCTCTTTCTCTCCCTTCTCCCCTCTCCCTCTTTGTCTTCCCTTTTCTCTCTATCCCTTTCTATACCCTCCTAATTACAAAAACCTAGTAACCTCCCTCCTGCTCTTCCTCTCCTTCCTTATAACTCTAATCCATCCATCCATCCAACCACTCCAATCTATCCAACCAACCACCTAACCATCTAATCCACCCCCCATCTAACTTATCCAAACACCCAACCATCCAATCCACCCCCCATCTAACTTTTCCAAACACCCAATCTTCTTTTCCCTATACTAAAAAAAAGGAAAGATAATAACAAGACTTACAAGTACTATACTATACTAGGGTATCCAAACCAGACTAAGCCAAACCAGACTAGACCAAACCAAATCAGACCAGACAAAAGAAAGAAAGGGAATCTTTCTTCCTTCCTTATTTACTACAAGTACTAGAGGAAAACTCATAGTACTAGGTAGGTGTATCTTATAAAAGTAAGAAGTAAAGAGTAAAGAATAAAGAGTGAAGAGTGATCTTGAGCGCTGATTTTATATTTATGTTTATGTTTATACTTATGATAGAGTTAGTTAGTTAATAACAATATAGTATACATCGAATCTAAACAAAACACCATATATACAATACATACAATACACTACAATACCCTACAATACAATACAACCCCCTACCTAAACACCCTACCCACTCCATCCCCATCCCCATCTCCATCCACCTATCCATAAATCCTTCAAGGCCCCTAAATTCCATCACAAAACACTAACCATCCATCAAGCTCTTCTACTCACTACATATATCCTCACCCACCCACAACCTCTTAAAACTTAAAACTTAAAACTTAAATATAATTACTTTTCTACCTACGTCGTAGTCGTAGTCGTAGTCATCCCCACAACCTTCTCCTTCTCCTTCCCCACTTCACCAACACCCTCACCAACACCCTCCCCCTCCTTCCCCTTCCCCTGCTCCTCCCTAAGAAACCTCCCCGGCACCCCCCTCGCAGCCTCCCCACCCCTTCCCACAAAAGCCCCAACAAGTTTACTCCAAAAAAACCCATTGCGTTTCAGCTCCTGAATCTTCGCATAGGCGATTTTATCAGAATACGGGAGGCCAGTGGCGGGGTCCCTGTATCGAGCTTTCTTTTGGATGTTGATAACACAGAGCTCGGGTTTTCTCCTGGCTGGATAAGGGGAGGAGGTTAGTGAGGGATTGAAGGGGGAAAAGGAGGAGGGGCAGGGGGGTAGGAGGAAGGGATAGGTACCAGGTATCCTCTCAAAGGTACGGTCGAAGAGGATTCGACATTGGATGTTTTTATCTTTGATGGCGTCTTTGTCGAAGTTGTTGAGGATGAGGTATTCGATTGCTGTGTTCATCATTTTCGGAGGAGGGGGGGTTAGTTCTCGTACAGGTACGGGTATTGATACCTGAGCGGGCATTGCTTCTCGAGCCGGGACTGGTACGATTACTGGTTGAGGTACCTGGACTAGATTCTGGGGAGCCAGGAAATTGTATCCAAAGCCTGGGAGAGGAGTCGAGCCGTCAAAATGAGGTTGAATTGGGGGTGCGAGTTTGAAGTGGGGTTGTGGTGGAGTGGCTTGATGTTGATGTTGATGGGGATGGGGATAGGGAGAGAATTGTGATATTCCTTTTGGGATTGGAGGAGGTGGAATAGGACCATGCATAGGTGGAGGAGCAAGGACTGAAGATACGCGAGGGGTACCATCTGGCGGGGGGGGGTAAGGTCCATGCATAGGAGGAGGAGCAAGAACAGATGATACTCGAGGTGGATCTGGAGTTGGTTCTTTTGGAGGCGTAGGTTGACGAGGGGGGGCGAGANGGGGGGGGGTAAGGTCCATGCATAGGAGGAGGAGCAAGAACAGATGATACTCGAGGTGGATCTGGAGTTGGTTCTTTTGGAGGCGTAGGTTGACGAGGGGGGGCGAGAATGGGTGATATATGTCTAGGAGGCTCAATTGCTAGGTTTGCGATCGGTAAATTTGAGGGAGTTGAAATTGGTTTTGGTATCGTCACTGCCGATAATTGGGGATCAATCAGGTCTTTTGGATCTGGTGTTGAAACAATTGTTGGTGGAGATCCCGTGGAAGGTCCTTGAGATTCGGGTACTGATGCTACTGATGGTGGGTCTACAACAATTGTCGAATTGCTTGAATCCTCCATCTCTGCAGCTTTCCTCTTGTTGGTTGGCTTCCCTTTGATTTCCTTTTTAATTTCCTTTTCGGTAATCAAAGTCTGGCCAGCCTTCTTCAACCTATCACCCACCCACTCCGCCATTCCACTCCACCACGTAATAACAGGTCCCTCCAAAGTTCGATTCTGTAACGCCGCTAACCTCAATCTCTGTTCCTCTTCCCTCTGCAACTCCATCTCTTGCCATCTATTAAGACTCTTCGCATTACTCTTCTCCACCTTTGCAGCCTCCCTCAATCTATCTTCTTGCGTCATAGGCGGCATCTCATTCGCCTTCTTCAACGCCGCCGCCCTCTCCATACTCTTCAACTGCTTCTGCCTCATAATCTCCCTCTCAATCATTTGCTGATGCAATTTTTCCTTGCTCTCCCTTGTAGTCCCTCTCGCAGAAGCTCTCGTAGGCGCATCCTCCGGGGTCGGAACCCAAGAAGCACGTTCAGATTTCTTCTTCGGTCTCGGAGCCTGAGTCAACGCGCGCGAAGCTACAGTCGAAGCCGTAGGATCAATCTTGACTTTCTTCTTATAAATCTTGGGTATGCCATCATTCAATTTCCGCTTCTTCCTCTGTTCTGCCTTGGCCTGTTTTTGTAATTCCCTCTCCCCCTCCATATCATCACCCGCAGCCGGTCCTTCATCTTCGTCCGAAGAAGAGTCCATCTGTACATCCCCATCATCCGCGTCATTATCTTCAAATACCCCATCATCCTCCGCCTCTTCGAAGAGTAACTCGAGCTCGTCGTCTTCTTCTTGTTGAATGAGGGCATGGAGTCGATTCCCCGCCGTGGAACGCTTCGCTCGGGAGGTCGCGAGCCATTCTACCTCTGGTTCTGGGGCTTCTTCTTGTTCGGAGTCGCTGTCGCTTCCTGATCGTGACGAGGTATCTGTGTCGTCGGCTTCTGAGCGCATGGGTGTATCTGCATTTTCGCTGGCCATGTTGGCGCAAGAGCGCTCGTCAAGTGCGCTCAAGTGTGCTTCTCAACTCCAGCTCTCACGTAGCTATTTTCGAAAACCGAACTTAAAGCAAAACGCAAATCCAAATAGAGAATATCTAATGGTACGGATGCATGTTATTGACAAAACGGCGTGGGTGGGTAAAGTCGAAAGTCGAGGCTGTCCTGAGTGACGCTATCGCGAAAAGGCTGTGGTCGGGACGGAGGAAATACGGGCCAGACTGCCGGGATTGCAGGGATGTCAGGCCCGAAAGTTGGGGTGGGAATTGCCCTGGGGGGCCAATTGGAAGGTGACATCTAGCTCAAGGCTAAGTGAATGCTCACGATTTTGAGATTAATTTTGGTTGGATGTTTGGTGGGAAAGTGCCCTTTTTGGAGTGAGTTATTAGGTTTTATGGTATTTGGTAGGTATGCTCGACATGTTTTTGTTACAGAGTGTCGATTTACTATCCAATAATTATCCTCACCCTACCCGTGAACCTCCAGCTGTAAGAACAAAACCCGTCATCAGATCCAAACTACCAACCTACTCACCCAGGTTTCCTACATACCTCCCTATCTTCCCTTCCAACCCCAAAACTCAACATCCCAAATCATTCAAAATCCAATTGACCAACCAACAGCAGCCAAATCTTACCTATATACTCCCCTCTATCCGTACACAACTCAAATCCGGTCCCTACAGTACAGTAAAGTCCTCTTGCCACGTACTTCGTATCTACTTCGTATCTACTTCGTAAACCCCTCGAACTCGTATCCATACCTACCTCTAGTACTCCGTACCCAGGGAAGAAATCTGTAACACACCGCACCGTCCCCGGAATCCCAGACTCCCAGTGGAGTATTGTAAGAGTACAAGTATCCCATCGGTAACAAAAAAAACGCCAGGCCATGCTTCTCGAAGCCCTTCGTGGCTTCGTCCAAAACAGGCCGAGGCGAGGTCGGTCAACATACGAAGTAAGAGGGAAAGGGAAGGGAAGGTTGAGCCTGAACTCCCCTCCCCATACTCGGGTAAGACTTCCGATGACGCAACGGAACCGAGTTCAACCTAACCTCACCTCAAGCCTGGCCTGGGCTTCTTTGGATGTTTGGATGTTTGGATGTGGCGTGGGGTACTCGGACTGTATTTCGTACACGACGGGTATTTTTACCCTCCCGTACTGCCACATAGACCTGGGAAAGTTTTCTTTTCTATATTCAGTCAAGGGAGAAGGGGTTGGTAATAAATGTGTAATGCACTGTACTTGTATAGTAAAGTTCACGTCTTGTTTCGTAGATTTCATAAACAATCAATATCAGATATACTTCGTGTTATGGGATGAGGGGAGAGTGTCAATCTGTGATACATGTTCGCAGTGATTGGGTATGCCTGGGTCATGGCTGGGAGATGGCATGGCGTTGAGGAGGAGATGGCGAAGGAGGCTCGGAGACTACATGGCGAGACGCTAAGGTTTCAGTGTTGGGGGACGAGGGGGGTGGATGTCGTTCGCCATCGTGAGTATGCCTCCTTCGCAAGGCGAGGTGAGGGGATCCATGGTTTGGGATCAGATGTAAAGTATGAGTCCTCGTTGTTGGCACTTGTATTTCAAATGAAGATTTTTTAGATGGGAAGAGGAGAGGTGGATGCATTGAAATTATGGGGATGAAATGGGTATGTATACTTCCTGTTTGATATCATTGTCCATTGTGGAGGAGAGCCTCGAAGCTGGAAAGAATATTCCGTCGACCTGGACGATCATGTCAGATCTGGCAATGGAATCAATGCCGGGAACCCCAGATACTTCGCCCACGGGAATGGGGCGCAAGCGAGCAGGCGAGCACAGTCCAATAACAAGTGTCTCTCGATCTATCTGAATCACAGCGAACTTTGAAGGTTCTCAATAAACAAGAGAGTTTCTGGTAGAAGGGCTTTGCATGAATGAGGATGCTGCAGTATCGCTGTCGGCTCGAGAGTCTTTGGTGATCCGAAGATCACATTGAAGTATGTGCGGTTCGTCCTGAACTGCAAAAGTGAAGAAATATACCGGTATAGATGCCATAGAAGAATTTAGTACAGTATGGATTAGGGATAGATGAATCGAGTACCGGTAGAAGGTTCGAGGGAGGAGCTGGTAGAGGAATCCGTTTTTCTTGTTTGTCACGTCCGATTCTTGTCTTGGTGAGAGTTGACGGAGGTTGAGTTTGGGTAGATCCAACCTCTTGTAAGATCTGCAAGAATCTATTATGATAATGCGATACAGTACAAAGTTCCGTCACTCAAACAGGAGTCGAGAGACAGCAGCCGGGCAGAGCAGGAGCGGCCGTCCGAAGTTCAGCCCGACTTCAGGATGACAGATGGATTGACGGTTGCTTGAAACTGCGGTATGAAGTGGCATGGAATCGTGGTGTACTATTGGGGTGTGTTACCTTGGAGTCGGTGTCGTGATGAGAGAGAATTGCATTGAGTCAACAAGGTATAGGGAGTCGGCATCGCCGTCGCCAACTCACCACAGACCGACCGAGTGCTTCTACTCTAAAGACCAGTTGTAGACCAATTGCCAGTGAGAAAGAGTCTTTTTCCAGTCGCTCACAGACATATGCACATTGACTTTATTTTCAGTGGCATGCAGCTCAGTGCAGTGCAGTGCAGTGCGGTACGGTGCGGTGCGATGCAGCGTGATGTGTGAAGTGTGATCCTTCGCGGTAAACTCCATCCAGGATTCGCATCAGGTGGAGGTGGAAGTGGAGGTGGAGGTGTCTTTCTCGGAAACCAAGTCCACTTCCCCTTCTGACAGGACAGGCCTCGCCCCGCATATTATACTTATACGGTATTCGATGGATGCGATGGTTTTTCCATAGATAGATATCATGTCATCCACCCCCATATGCACATCCACATGCCCATCTGACGAAGACTCGAGACGAGGACGAAGATATTCAGAGGCTGAGATCAAGAGTAGGACAAGTAAGAGGTTGATAGAGGAGGCGAACTGGGCGTTTGGTTCATGCAAAGCGGCAGTGCGAGTGGGAGCCATACCAGTATCCATATCCGTCGGATAAAAATATACTCGTCTTGTGCCTCTACCCTAAACTTGGCCCATCAATCATTGTAAGGAAACGTTGGCGAGGATCTTGCTTTCAGGAGACCTGTGAGTATTGGAGTGGTGCGTATAGGGACAACGCAGGAGGTAGGTTGGGAGAGGGCGTGACTTTGAGGGTATCCATATGTGGGACAGTACCGCATATGTAGGGCGAAGAGACTTCTTTTAGGAGAAAATGGCGTGAGTTGAGAAAAAAGGACCTCGATTTTTGCGTTCACAAAGATCCCACACCAGAAAGTCCCCATTACTTCGTATATCCTCTATAGATACAGAGTGGAGTGTGCAGGTATAGATAATCTATTGGATGGATACCTACCAGATTCCAACTTTGTCAACCTTGCGATGTCGCCGATGGAGGGAAGAGAGTAGTGTGCAACTCCAAGGGCTGAGACAAACCTTCTCAGGCTTTAGCGATAAATCCTCGGTACCTACGTCTCTTAGACGAGTCTAGTCTGATGTGCCCCGGCTACTGGACTGCCCGGCTAAACAAAACAATCTACCGGACTCGTCTTAGTCACTATTGTTTATCTGAATGCAACATACTCTATCTGACAGTGGTCTGGAATAGGTCTTGCCCTACTGGTGTGAACTTCACACGATGCCTGCACCTGCCTGCACTGAACCTCCGTCAGCGTGTGGTTCCGTAGGGGGGAGGATGAGAATAGCAGCATCGCTCACTGCCGTGGTGCTATTGGCAGCATCGCCCGTTGCCAACAGCCAACAGCCAACATCCCCCTGGTGCGCGTTTCAGAGTTGCATCTGGTCTAGGGCGTCAGGGTCCAGTCAGGGTCAGCCTGGCGAGGAGACGGAGTGAATCCCCGATTCTTTTTCATCAAGCCTACGAATAGCCCCGTAAATGCATGCTCCAGGGAACTCTGCTCGGTTCTTGGGCCTTGTTGCGTAGGAGGCAGGGAGGGAGTCGAGCGAGTCTAGGGGAGTCCTTCGTGAATACTGTAGCCATCGCCTTAGCCTTCCCTCAAAGACACCTTTGCCTGCCCTGCCCCTTCTGTCGTCTGTACTCTATCACAACGACATCACCACATCTCATCTCCCGCATCACAGTCGGAATCTCATCCTCTCCTTTTCCTTAGCCACCTCCATCGAGTCCACCGATTGTTTACCACCACCAACACCATCACCAACCCTCTTCTTATGTATTAATGAGCCCTGTAGAAGTACACTGACCACCCACATCTGCACCAGCATCTGCACCAGCATCTGCACCAGCACCAGCACCCACACCAGCACCCACACCCACAGCCGCCCACCCGCCGCGTCTTCTGCCCCCTTTTGCTCTTGACACAATTTCCTGCCAGAGCTTAATCAACGTACACAACGGTTCATTTCTCCTCCTCACCACCACCACCGCTGTGCGTCACGGACGACCGATCCCATTCGGTCCATTTTACCTTCCTTCAACTCTCCCAGAGATTATTCTTCGCATCGTCATCGACCTGACAGCGGTAGAATCCGGGTTCTCGTTTTTAATAGAGCAGAATTTCCATCACCATCATCCCACAGTTGATCCGTTCTCCGACCTTCTCACCCCATCACCACCACACAATCCTTCCACGCAGACCCGTCCATCGTCTATCGTGCACCGGGGACTCTCGTATCTACGATTGTCTTTTCTTCGAGACACGCTCAAGCTCGTCGGCCTTGCACACACCTCGAGTGTCATTCGGTTGATAGTCGGTCATTGCGGATTTTTTAAGGTTTGGGGGGATCGATACATTTGAACACATCTTTCCACCATCTGTGTTCCTACGAGCGACGGAAATATCACGCATTTGGTCCCACGAATAATCTATAATGTCTTCGGCAAGATCTGACCATTTGACTCTGGGCTATAACTCACAGTCTTCAGCCAGCTTGCCACGTTCAGGCGGTTCCACGGCCAATAATTCCCCCACGGAAGCCACCAGCGGCAGCGCATTACGATCTCCCTTTGGAGTGCCTGGCGGAATGAATTCAGCAACAGGAAAGATGGCCGCAAACACGCGTTCGGGAGCTGGTTCTCCTTCGCATGAGTTGGGTGCTTCCTCCCGGCTATTCACCAAGAGGTATGGCAACCTCTGCATCACTAACATCTCACTCCCCCAACTAACAAATTGATAGCCGAGCACGAGAAATTCAAGCGCAAGAAGGGGTCCCAGTCAATGTTTGGGGGCCTCCTACCAGTGGCAATTCCACCCCCCTTCGCGAAAACATCCCCGAATCTCCCACCGACGGCTTCCCCGATTTCACACAGCTCCCAACTCCAGATGCTACACCACAAGTGACGAGACGTGCGAGAGCCGGAACCGTTCCATCACGATTCTCGCCTGGAGGTGCTACAGCTAATGGATTGGGTGCTTTGCCAGCGTCCCTCGTAGCAAAGACTTCTCGCCCGAGTCCATCGCCAAGTCCATTCAAATCCCCATCTCCAAATTTGGGTGAAATCACAGATCCAGGGTTGGCAAGCAATGCGGCTCTCTTGTCTCGTCTGCGAGCTGGTTCGATGCCACAGCGACCACAATACAGCAATGCGGCCTCTCCCTTCGGCCTCTCCGTGTTTTCCTCCAACTGGGCTTCGGGTCGTGAGCGAACCTCCACATTAGCGAGTATCCAAAGTCAGGGATCCAATGGACCAAGCTCCCCCGCACAATCCGCCTTCTCTCGAGAGGGAGCGGCGGATAATGAGATGAGAACTTTGGATTACCTAGGATTGGCAGACACTCCTCAACCACCACGAGCGCAATTAGCGAACCCGTTCTTGGCCAATATCGCCGATATCAACAAGAACCGATTCCGATCATACTCCGTCAATGCAAAGGAAAAATATGCGGAGGATGATGAGGATGATTATGGCAGTGGTGCCATGACTCCTTATGAACAGCAGGCGCAACTCCATATGCAGCTGGCCGCAACCAATGCAGCTATCCAGCAGCATAATCTCGCGGTTCAAGCCTTTGCCAACCAAGCCACGGCCAATCGACCAAGAGCAAGAACTGCTGGTGTTTTGGAATCTCCTCAGACAAGATTGCTACGAAATTACTATCCAACGGCTTCTCGGCTAGATAACAGTCTTCATGCTTCTGACATCCACTTGTCTGAGGCACCAGAATACGAGGGTCTGCCAGAAGCAGTTGCCGGTATGTCACTTGGACGATCAAACAGCCGCAACAATGACGGACACTTGAATCCAGAGGATACCTTGGAAGGACCAACTAGAGCTTTGTGGCTTGGAAGCATTCCATCTTCAACCACAGTTTCAACTTTGATGGAAATGTTCAAAACCCATGGTGCTATTAGCACTGCTCGGGTATTGACACACAAGAACTGCGGATTTGTCAACTTTGAACGTCTGGAGAGTGCCATATCTGCCAAGAATGCTATGAATGGCAAGGAAATTTTCCCAGGTGCTGGTCCAGTTAGAATCAACTTTGCCAAACCACCATCCCCATCTGGCACCCCTGGACATGACGGAGCTTTCCCATCACCCAGTCCAGACCCATTTGCAAAGGGAGAGACTGGAGCCAATCTTGAGGTTGCTGCTCCAGGTGTCATTTCTCGACCTGGAACGGCTCCATTGACTATGCCAGCTCTTCGTGAGTTGAAGGCTGATATACTCGATATTGTTGTAGAATTCGGTGCTACGCCAGAGGATAAGATTAAGATCACTCACAGTCTAGACCAAGCCATCAAGTACGACAAATTTGAAGCCGAGATTCCACCGATTCCAGAGCCATCTCCTAACCGAGTTCACGATGCCCCTAAACTTCGAGATATCCGAAAGCGAATCGATAATCAGAGTTGGTCCCAAGCTGAGATTGAAGGAATTGCCGCTGAAATGCTTCCTGAGATTGCTGAGCTTTCACCTGATTATCTTGGTAACACGGTTGTTCAAAAATTATTTGAACATTGCTCGGACGATATGAGGGATGCTATGTTGGATGAAATCGCACCACACATTTCGGAAATTGGTATTCACAAGAACGGTACATGGGCTGCTCAAAAGATTATTGATGTTCGTTACTTTCCACGCTGATTTAAAACGACTCACTGACCCGCGTAATTAGGTATCAAAAACCCCGAGACAAATGGGTATGATCGTTTCAAACCTCCAGCCATATACAGTCCCATTGTTCCTTGATCAATACGGAAACTATGTTCTGCAATGCTGCCTGAAGTTTGGATCTCCTTTCAACGACTTTATTTTTGAGGCCATGTTGAGCCAAATGTTGAAGATCGCAGAAGGAAGATATGGTGCCAGAGCTATGAGAGCATGCCTTGAGAGTCACCACTCTACTAAAGAGCAACAACGAATGCTCGCAGCCACAATTGCTCTCCACAGTGTTCAATTGGCCACCAACGCCAACGGTGCTCTTCTTCTCACTTGGTTCCTTGATACCTGCACATTCCCTCAACGCCGAACAGTTCTTGCCCCTCAATTGGTGCCACACTTGGTACACTTGTGTACCCACAAGGTTGCCTATCTAACTGTTCTCAAAGTCATTAACCAAAAGGCTGAGCCAGGTGCGCGCGATGCTATTTACAAGGCATTGTTCTTCTCTCCCAACGACGAGACTTTGGAAGCGATTCTCTCCGACCACAACTGTGGTGCTACTTTGATCTTCAAGGTTCTCACTACACCTTTCTTCGATGAGAGCATTCGATCTCAAGTTGTTGAAAATGTTCGTAATGTGCTCTTGAGATTAAAGGCCCAACCAGCTCAAGGTTACAAGCGTCTTATGGATGAGGTTGGACTCTCCACACGAAATGGTAGCACTGGTCCAAGCCGTGAGCATGGATCAAACAGCCACTCGGTTGAGCGAAACCGCCCAGGTTCCAATCACAGCCAAGTCAATGGCCACGTACCACCTCAATATTCCAACCAATTCTATCCAGGCATGCAGCCTCCACAATTCGATGCAAATGGTATGAGTATGCAGCGGACCGATAGCATGGATTCCAACCTTGCTCCATCATATGGACTGCAGAATCCAATGTTCAACCCCGCCAATGGCTTTGTTGTTCCTCCAGTCAGTCTTCAACAATTTCAGCAAAATTATCTAGCTCGTGCGGCACCACCAATGAACAACTTTTACCCACAGCAGACGGGATTCTACAACAACGCGAGTCCATCACCGGAACACTTCCGCAACCAAGGCTTGCAGAATGCGAGCCCACAGCCCCCACAACCAAATGCCATGATTGGACAGAACCCATTTGTACCTCCTCCAGGTCTGTTTGGCAACATGCCAATGGGTGTTGGAGGTTATGGATATCCGGGAATGGGAGGAGTTCAGGGCGTCGGATACGGCATGCAACAAGAACAACCCGTCAACAGTCGACGCGGAAGAGTACGTTAAACCATGATCCATCTTTCCCAAGGACCCAGCTAACGAACGCTCCACAGAGATGAAAAAGCTCAATTGCACATTTGGATTGGATTACATGATAGAGGCAGGCTTCGCATAGTTTTTGATCCATGTTGATTGATTGAATGTTTGTGATTTTGGGATTGTACGAATCTATCTGTGTTTTATAGGCCAACAAAAAGGAGTTTTCTGAAACTTTGTTCTTTTGTGTGTGTGTGTTTTTGTGGAATGAGGGTTTACGTGCTTAAGGGGTTCATGCCAAATTATATGAGGATTTTTATATGTACACCGTTCTTGTGTCTGTCGTCTCTTGTGTTTTCTCCCGTCTCCCCCTGATGGTGTTCTTGTGCTGTGGTGTAGGATTTTGCCCTCTGCTTTGACTGTCTCGTTGAGTAAGCGGATGGGGTTTTTGATAGTAAATTATAGATGTGAGTTGAGTAGATGTGTGTGTGTGTGTTGGGGGGGCGGAGGGGGGGGTTCTTATGAATATTATATTTTATTTACTTACTATTAGATTCTTCTATTTCTATTTTCCCTCGCTTCTCTCTCTCGTCTCTCTCTTCCGGTTTTGTTTTTGTTGGGGGTGGAAGGGGGGGGTACTGTAGTTTGTTTATGGTGTAGGATTTGATTGAGGAGTGTGGGGGGTGTGTGTGGGGTGTGTTGATTGAGGAGTGTGTGTCGGCTGGGAATCCTAATGGAACACGAGTACATTGTATATTAAAGGGATACTACCGAGTATAGTATAAGAGTATAGACCTAACCAGTAAATTACTACTCCCTTACCACTCGCTTACTTGACTAAACACATAGCATCAAGGAAGAGGTCATGAGGTGTAACTAGGCTTAAGAGTCTTGATGGATATCCATGGATATTGATAAGGCGTAGGACGATGCAGCGGGGGTGGTGTTGGGGAGGAGGGGGTGTGGGGGTCTTCGCGATGTTTTTGTATATTGGATGGATGATGGATATGGAGGGGATGTTGTATGACATTGTGAGGGAGGGAGGGAGGGAGGGAGTG